CACCATGTAACAGCGAATGGCATCAAAATAGCGGAGGGCGGGCGTGGTGTTCCATGAAGAGTGGAGGCATTCAACGAGATTGGGCTGGAGTACCAAGGTGCGACTTTTCATGATGGACTTCTGTGCTTGTATTTTCCCCAACCTTGAGTTTCGTTTTCGAAGCCATTGTCAGCAATTTGAAAAATATTTAGGTTACTCTACGATCCAAACACAAAACAACAACGATGTGCTTGTGTAAAAAATTTTGGTGCGGGTTTATCGCCAGTTGGATCCAAAGGGAATAATCGAGGAGATCTTGACCATCCGAATCTAAGGGTGAGCTTATTTTGCTGTTTCTCATTGTTTATTTCAAAGAAATGGTATGATAGCGCATGCCTGATTTATTGAAACTACACGATCAAGGCTAACCAAAGCCACGAATCGTGCCCGACCTTTAGGTTTTTTCTTCCTGCTCTGATAGTAGGTGGCCCGTCTCACCAAATGCGCTGTGTTGAGAACTGAACTGGTGGGCGGTGTCAGGGAAGCAAAAAAAGAAGGAAGGCGTAGGATTGATTGAATGTGAATGGGATATTTCAGAATCTTTTTGCACATAGGCAGCAGAGAGTGAGCCTTTTTTAGCGTTTATGCATAAAAGAGCAATTCCTATCTTTAAACCTTGCATAAAATAGACAGCTTGGGTCGATAGCAGACCTCTGCGTTTAGTGAACGCAATTTTCGACTTCAACACTGTCACCCTTGTCCTGCACCTTATGGTCTTTTTTGTCCTCCTTTTTGACTGTTTAGTTTTTTGCAACCAAACTTACTACGCTTGTCAAGCTATCACCGTCTGACGGTATAACCAGATTCGTGTGCCCAAGGCGCTTCTTAGAAGCATGCCACGGCTATTTTTTGCAGTCCAGTTGCTGTGAAGTTCATTCGGCATGCACAAACGTGCATAAGATATGCTTTGTTGTCTTGGCCACTCCTCTGTTCCCATTTGACACTTCAACCCGATTTTTTTCGGTGAGCGGGGAAGGGGCAATGTGTTGTGGTAATTTTCGAAGGCGGAGGATGGCTCATAATGGGCAACTCCATCAATCGTAACATATTTTGCCCGAAAACCTTCTAAGATAAATGAATTTCCAATAAAT